CCCAGAATTCGTAAAAAAACACTCAAATTTATCTTAAAATTTCTTTTGTAGGTTTCGGCTTATATGATTTAGAATTAGGATAACACTACTGTATTGAGAACTTTGCGTCGCCATTAAAACTCGATGTGCGACAGTTTAGACACGATATACCCCCTCAAAATAAAAAATAGAGTTATTACCCTAATTGTTTTTAACTTCAGGGTTTTGAGATTGCCCCCTTGCAGTAACGAAGTTCTTCGTCTTTATGATCTTTATATGAATGGTTGATTGTACACAGTATAACGTCCTAGAACAGCTAAGATAATTTAAAGACGTGCATCCATGTTGTTTACGCTTGCATGTTGGTGTGTATGTGCGCTGGACGCAATATGTTGGGGTATTGCCTCCCTATGATAGCACGTATCTGAGGTAAAACATACAATAACTGCTACCCACGTTACAACGCTTGTATTTTTTTCTTTTGTTCTCTCATTTCAATATTCTTTCTTTTGATAAACTAGAAAAATATCAATCACATGTAATGACATACAAGAAAACTAACCCAAAATGCCTCTTATTTTTTTCCGAAGCAGGCTTCATGTTCTGAAATATCCTAAAAATAGATAAATATGGCTTTTTAAGGTTCGATTCAGGTTCATGCTGCATGTAGGGATAAATACATCGTTACTTTGTAAAAGAACCAGCAGGTCGATTAATTCGATCTATTCATTGTCGTAATCCCATAAACAGACCACTTCAAGGCCGACTAACGAAAACGATTCCGTCTTGAAAATTGATCAAGATCTCTTTTTGTCGTTTGGAACGAGTCTGTAATAAATGACCACACAAGGAACCGACTACCGGATCGATAATTCCGCCTCGTGGTGACGACTTCATTTCTATTCCAGAACAGCAACTACACTGCATTGCACTACATGACAGTAGTTGCAGATGACAACAGTGGGATGTGAACGAACATAGTGTTTCCTCGGATTACTATTGGATCATATATATATATACCAATTACTAAAGTAGCATAACGTATGGGCAGGGAAAGGCATAAACTCATTCAAAGTCGTTATTTATACACTTAAAATAAATAGATTGGTAAAATAAAAGATACAACTTCCATACGTTTGTCTATTCGATGTATTTCTTCATATCACAATCAAATCATAATTCTTAAACTAACTCCTTAACAAGATAAACGATTGCAGTATTGAAAACTCAAAACAGTGTTGATATATATGAATATATATCACTTAAAGTTTCCCGATATTGGAAAGAATAAGGTGTTAAAAAACAACAGTGTCATAGAGTAATATGACTGCATAAACAAATGGCAAGTTGAGGCCGACTGATAAATCCAACGTACAAAAACAATAGGTTTGGTCTGGTTTGGTTCTATGTTGTAAGCGTCCCATCAACAGCTAAGGTCATTTAAGGACGTGTATCATTGTATGCTGAATATGTGTGCATGTGCGTTAATTAAGGCAGCGTATATTTGCGTGTTTGCCTCTTTTCGAGGACTTAAGCAGCCCCCATCCCAGTGGTAAATGTTTGATCGTTTGAGCGTCATGTAATAGTAAAAAAAAATGTATAGTGTAATTGGCCAGTGAAGACGGCTGACCAACACAACACATTAAGCACGATTTGTTTGTTATAATATCAACGGTCGCTGCAACAGGTAGGGTCATAAAAAGGGTCACCGAAAAGAAGGGTAGAAAGTAAAAAAAAAATATTGGTCCCAATTGTTGCAGTTGGGTTCAGTAGACCTTTAAAGAAGTTCTTTGGTTTGTCTAGAGTTGTTATCTTCGCAAATATGTAAGGTCATAAACAGACAGTTAAAGTGATGATTGGAGCCACATATTGGCTATTTTTTGGTGTCCACGCACTGAAGCGTTCTAACTAAGACACGCTAGCATGACACCGCACCTGGTCACATAACACATGATATAACGAATCCTTACCACCATTTATCTAAACCCGAACACCTGCACAGACAAGGATTTTACCGGTTAAATGACAAAACCAGCAGGCCTCCTGGCCTGGATGTAAAATAACAAATTTCCATCCCAGTGGCGTAAAAAATAAAACAATGGATGCAGAAAACATATAGGACAACATCATAAATTTATATAAAAATGTGAACAATATACCACCATTACTGTTGGCAACTGAATAATGCAATGTCGTATTGTGAAATAAAAAAAAACCAAAGCAAAGTGCTGCAAGATAACAGAGAAAATGTAAATCACATAAAATCGAGACGATAGCAGGATCGATACGGCCGTTATAATAGGTCTTTCCAAATGCAATGATATACATTATCTGTCCTCAGCTGAAATGTGCAATTGTGGCCTAGCGCCCTTACCATTAGCATTGGCCTTATGGTTAAAACGTCTACGGCTTGGCTTCCGGTGAGTTGTCTTTTTAAACCTATTATAACTTCCTAGCAAAGCTATGCTCTTATATGAAGACGGTTTCCTAGGGATTTGTTTGTTTGATGTTTTGCGTCGAAGAAAGGGCCGGTATGGTAGGTTTAGCCGGTGTAAAGGTAGATGAACAGTTGTGGCTGGTTCACCTGTTTTTCAGTATTATGTGACCGGGTGAAACTCTGTGCTGGGTGCCTTCGGCGTAGTATTTCAGTGAGGTATCACTATGAAGTCGGCATCAGATCTGCGCTATCGAACAGAGGCAAATACACCAACAAACCTTGTCAGCACACATACACACGTGCATGCATACACAATACACATGTAGTCACGTCCTTAAATGACCTTAGATGTTGATAGGACGTTAAACCCTATACAACCCAAAGCAAACTAACTTTTTGACCACACTTGCTAGCTTATAACACAGACTTTACGTATACATATATTACACTAAAGAATCCCGAACTTTGTGGAAAGTGCCTGAATTAGTTTTGACTTACCCAGTGGGCATGCAATTGCCATGGATATTGAAAGTGAAGAGGTTTGGTTGCGTCATGCTTTGTCAGATAAGAAACGTTTTGCAAGCTGTCTTTACAAATGACATGGTAACGACCTAACTCAGCTGTGATTTCCATCTCTGAACACAGCTACTTTATAAACAATTTTCCTTCTGTTGTTCATATTCCCAATAATACCTTATTCATGAAAACGTTCTCATGCTCAAGCATGGATTTTGTGCTCAAGCCTAATTTCATGTTCTTTTTATAACTTTATTAATAAAACGTTTATGTCAATAATTTTGAATTATTTTAGGAAAATCAAAGTCAGATACTGTTTTCAGTGTTTACATTTGACTTGAGCAAGTTGGTTTGAGCACAGAACCCTTGCTTGAGCATGGACACGTTTCATGAATACGAACCAAGGACGTTTTGGTGTTTTATGGTTCAGCGTCCCATGGACAGCCATTGTCATTTAAGGTCGTGCCTCCGTGGGTGTGATTTATGTGATTGTTCTGAAAAGTATTTCTTACGCAGATGAAAAAACGTGATAAAAGCTCTAAATTATAATCGCATACACAATTATAAAAAAATACGAATTATTGGTAATTTTTATGAATGTTCATATCTTTATGATTTTCCATCTGCTGTGATGTCAAAAAACGTAATTTATTATTAAAACATGCGACGCTTTAGCCGCTTGATATGATACATTTCTATACAAATATTATAATTGTACAAATCAATACTTCACTTAAACTACAAATAAAGCCTTAAGCACTACTGCTATATCAGACTGAATATACTGTATACCGGACAATTTTCACCCAGTGAAGACTTGCGCCCTCCGTCGGTAAAAATCTTTTTTCGCCAGTTATAAATGTGACTATCACATTTACTTACTACGTATAGTATGTTGTTTACGTATGTTTGCTGTAATGATTTCCTTCCTTACGAAAGGTCAAAAAGGCAAAACATTTACTGCAGCGAAAATTTCCTGGTATACAGTATACTGATCCCTGCAGTATATTGAGTAATTAAACTATATAATCATCAATACACATGTTGATACACTTTTGCTGCAAATTCTGAAACCAGATATGTGATTGAATCAATGAACACAAGATAACAGTAACATATGATTGATTTTTCGAGTTTGAGGAGTCACAAGAATGTTTTTATATAATTATAAAAAAAATTAAAAAAATCCAAACATGATTTCGGGGCTCCATTGTTTCCTCCTTATGACATCAGTTGTAGTTGAATCGGATATAATTTTGGTGTATAGAACATAATGTATTTTTTGGCATTTGGCATTTCTAACTCTTGGGGCAAAAACTACGGCTTTCCCCCCACTTGAATTAAACGTTTAATATTTACGACCTCTGTACCACTGTCGAATGGAAACTGTTTAACGGTATGATTATAGCATTGACGAATCATTTTGAAAAAAAGAAAACCATACAATGAGAATTTTTTATGACAAAATTATTGCGATAAAATCAACAAATTATAATCAACAACAGTGTCTGGAGTATGAAAATGTAGCGGAACCTAACCGGGACTCGAACCTTGAACTTCGGTTTATTATACTATCCCTCTAACCGACTGGCCAAAATGTTCTACAGTTGAATAAAAACATGTGTTTTTGTATGTAAAAAAAAACAATTAGTGCAGTGCAGTGGGACACATAACAAAACGTTTGTAAGGTAGTTGAGAGTTTCTCTTGAGAAATATGAAATTGTGATCATTTGACAACCGTCTTTAAGGTAAAATCGTCAAAATATAACACTGCAATATGCTTTACTTTTACGCTTTAATAGGTAACCCTTAAAAATACATAGACAAGAATATGTGATTATTGTGCATTACACTGTACGTCATAGCTTATACAACGTTAGTTTACTTATGATGCAATTTACCTGTTCGCAAACATTTGACAAAAACAATAAGTGGTTTGCAGATTTTGTCAACGTAAAAGTAAAAAGGAAACAATGAATGCCACGTCCATTATAAGAATTATATAAAATCAACAGCTAGAGCCAGCAAATGGCCCCATGTCTCTCATACTGCCACAGACCTACCGGTGCGCTTGCCTCAGTTGTATGCCAGCATCCACCGGCGAAGGCGGTCTGTTTTATCGACGTCTATCAGGAGTTAATGCTGCATAAAATCCAAGTTTATTCCCGACTGTGATTTCTCCGGGATAAATTGGATGATACATACGGCGCTCGTTCTCAGTGTCACGTCAGATCCGGGACGAACTGGAAAACATCAAAACCGTTTTAGTTTTATTATATTGCTTTTTATATAACAACAGTTTGACTGATATCTACCGGAGCAAGAATCAAAGTCAATGGTACGCTTGAAAGGATAGACGATCCCAATGGGATTATTGAGGATTTAAACGCGACTCCGGATCAAAAGAGCGCTTGCTATAAAAAGGACAGAGTGCGCTCTGTATGGTACATACAAACACGGTTGGTTTCTGGCATTTAGTTAGTTAAGAGTCGTCGTGGAAACTACGAGCCACGCCGACTTCGTCTAAAGAAACAGTAGAGTAAACTGGAACCTTTGAGGATGATCGCTTACCAACAGCTTGCAATGGAATGTGATTAACCATTTATATGTCATTCATTTAAAACGGATTTGACTTGAAACCAATTGTGATTCAAAGATTGGGGCCATATTAATAATCAGTTTTTTTCACCGGATTTGTGTTGGTGGTCTGATATAGCAATCAAGCTTCAACAGGATAATGTAAGTTTACATTTATTTTGAGTTAATATCATTTAATTTTGATCAATCATGTCAAAGATAAATTCAAACTTCATTGCAAAGTAGATTGTGGATATCGTCCTCGTTTCGATATTTGATAAACGTTCTTTGGCTGAAAATAAATTCAATCTAGCTTTATTTCTAGATATATTTTGGTTGTTAAGGTGACAGAGGTAATGTGGTCCTTTTATTTTTCGTGAGACAAAATGCACGTTTTTAAAAGACAATGTTCGTAATACTTTTTTGTCATATAAATCTTGCTGTTGTGATTTCATTACATACCTGTTGAATCTTGTCAATGATTTTATCACAGACATGATGAATCTTGCTGAAGTGATTTTATCACATACCTGATGAATCTTGCTATAGTGATTTTATCACATACCTGATGAATCTTGCCATACTGATTTTATGACACACCTGATAAATTTTGCTGTTTTGATTTCATCACATACCTGTTGAATCTTGCCAATGATTTTATCACAGACCTGATGAATCTTGCTATAGAGATGTTATCACGTACATGATGAATACTGCCATTGTGATTTTATCACATATCTGATAAATCTTGCTATTGTGATTTTATCACATTTCTGTTGAATCTCGCCATAGTGGTTTTATCACGTACATGATGAATCTTGTCATAGTGATTTTATCACGTACATGGAGAATCTTGCCATAGTGATTTTATCACATATCTGATAAATTTTACTATTGTGATTTTATCACATACCTGTTGAATCTCACCATAGTGGTTTTATCACGTACACGATAAATCTTGGCATAGTTATTTTATCACAAACCTGATGAATCTTGTTATAATGATTTTATCACTTACATGATGAATATTGCCATAGTGATTTTATCACATACTTGATAAATCTTGGTATTGTGATTTCATCACATACCTGTTGAATCTCGCCATAGTGATTTTATCACGAACATGATGAATCTTGTCATCGTGATTTTATCACTTACCTGATGAATCTTGCTATAGATATTTTATCACGTACATGATGCATCTTGCCATAGTGATTTTATCACATACCCGATGAATCTTGTTATAATAATTTGATCACTTACCTGATGAATCTTGCTATAGTGATTCAATGAATTGGAGCAGGTATTGATTGTTACGTCACTTGTTTGTGAGAGTAACGTCATCAATTTTTGAGAAAACGACGTAATTTTCTCACACAGACCAATGACGTAACAATCAATACCTGCTCCCAAGAGAAGATAACTCTGCAATACGCAAAGACGGAATATGCATCAATGTGATCATCCACACAATAAACTGGTGGTATAGGTGGCCTTTAGATTGGTTACAAATACCTTCTGTCCAAACAGCTAGAAGGTGTTGTTTCATGGAAATTACCGGTTGGTTTCAATTAAAAAAATCGAAGAGTCGAACAATAACTATTCGTAAATATTTCTGCGCAAGTTGAAGCCAAATGATTACATAAAATCAAGAATTCTTGTTTACTTGAAACTCGAAAACCTGCCTCAATATATGACATGTCACGAACGATTTATATTAAAACACTTTGTATTGCATTGACATTTAGCGTGCACGAGATAACTCATATGTAAAAACAACTGGTTTTAAATATCTTTTCAAAGCGGTAAATACGTCAACAATTCTGGACAATCTCAAAAAACTTTTGGTCTGTTCTACAATATATAAATAACCATAGCTTATTTTAGTATTTATATTGAAATGTGTCTTTTACTTATAGTTTGTTTGATATTATTTCCTGTGTAACATGTTTTATCGACCATGTGTTTGTCGTAATGACCTCTCCTGCCACTAAAAATAAATATTATTCATAAGCACATTCATAGCGATGCGTGTTATCTTGTTATAACATGCATATAAAGAGATTTAATAAACATGTAAACAAATAGTATATACATTTGTTATGGCGTGATTCACAACCACATTTAAACATTGGATTGGGGTCTTCCCGGGATGTGCTTCGTGTTGCATCGTAGTCATGCATGCTCCTCGCTGGGTAGAAGATGGCTGAGTTGCACTGCATCATCTTTGAAAACAGTCCTTATATGAACTTAGTTGTTGCAAGGGTGAAAACCCCTAACCATTCAACCAAAATTATAAAGGTTCACACCATAAACTGAAAGTAAACTAAACGAAATATCGCATTTGAAGACAAGATGAGTATTTGTACACTTCAGAATTCTTGAATTTACCAAAATCCATGAAAATCCGTGTTCATGGCTTATTACAATACGAACGCTAAGAACGGCCAGTGATTGTTACTTGTGAGTGGAGACGGTTTTGTGCATTCCCTTATCTTACTATTCTTTTCGACATTACAAGTAAATTATTCCAGCGACAGGAAATCCAAACCACTTAAAGGTCGATACAATACATTTAATGGAACATTTGAAAACAAGCCAACATCCTTCTTTTTATATCGTAATAGCCTGCATCTATATTTAGCTATTGGTAATTGATATTGCACTTCTTTGGATGACTACAGTATACTTTATCATTGAGTTTTTTATGACTGCAGTATACTTTATCATTCACTTTTTTATGACTGCAGTATACTTTATCATTGACTTTAAATGACTGCAGTATACTTTATCATTGAGTTTTTTATGACTGCAGTATACGTTATCATTGACTTTAAATGACTGCAGTATACTTTATCTTTGAGTTTTTTATGACTGCAGTATACGTTATCATTGAGTTTTTTTATGACTGCAGTATACGTTATCATTGACTTTAAATGACTGCAGTATACTTTATCATTTGACTTTGGATGACTGCAGTATACTTTACTATCGACGTTAACTGACTGCACTATACTTTATTATCGACTTTGGGTAACTATTGGGAAGGATTGGATGAACAAGCAAAGCTATTCTAATATCGAAGATGTCCCCTATTACACAAACTATTCTACAACTTGTGCAATAACAGATTACCGGGCAACGTTTGAAGCATTATCATGACATGTTGTTGATATTGAGGTAAACAAATTTGACAATATTGTCTCCTTGAATACGTTTCAAAATAAATAAACACTTTCTTCTAGACACTTAAAAGCAACTGTAATTGTTTCAATGAGCGCAATATCGATTTTCAAATTATTGTTGGAAGAGATATAGTTTTGCCCTAGTTACCAGTTTGGTCTTGAAAACTATAAAAGGAAAATACAAGTCTTGTTCATCAGGACGCATGATGCCTTCCAATTGTTCTACCGTTTTGGTGACCTAGACGATTAACCCTAACCACCAACTAAGAACCAGTAGCCTAAGGATAAATACAAATTGTCACTGTTCTGTTTTGAAAAGTATGTTTAACGAATTTTGTTTGGCTTTCTTGTGCTTATTCGATGGGCTTGTAGCAATTTGGCATACAGAAGATCCCCTGTGTATCGGATTTCCGTGATTAGGTCACATCCAACACGCTTCCAACTTCAAGCTGTCGCTGATAAGACATACAATTGACTTGATTTATATGGATTTTTACCGGCATGAAACAGATTTAAAACCCGGTAGATGTTCTGCCTGGGACGCGAGCGCTTGCTGAGGTTTAAGGATGAGTCAAACTTCATGATGTCCGTGTACAGGTTTTAGTATGCAATATAATCATTAATGAAACATGCTTCACCAGTTTTCAGTGTATGATCCGATTTATTAATTATAAATGATATTCGCCCAGGATTGCTTTTGTTTGAAATGCATCATAATGTGTTTTGTGTGTTTTCTGCCGTTCCCCTTGTACTGTTAACTGATAATGTCTCGCTGCATCTGCAATAATGCTTAACGGTTTATTTGAAAAGTGATTGCTTCTTGATTAAATACTTGCACTGCAAAATGATTTTATTTTTCCATGACATCTTCATATTATTATCTTTTAAACAAAAAAGGGAATGCCACCAGTAATTCCTAAACAGCAACCCTAATACAGCATAATTGTCATGTACTCAAAAAAGCCAAAGGTTAAAAGTTAAATGAGCTATGTAATGTTAGTATTTTAATCTTACTATATTTTTTTACGGTTTGCTTTATGAGCTTAAGATTCTTAGTGTGAAGACGTCACCACAAATCAAGCCTAGAGTTGGACATGGAAGTCCCGCACCGGAAAAGCGTCTTTTAGCGTTTACGCAAACTAGGAAAATATTAATAATTTTGATAATAAAGTGTCCGCAAAGCAGTAATTTCCTTATCGTAAATGCAATTGCCCTAAAATCATTTTAGTTTATCTGATGACACGAGACAAACCTTTAATCTAAGATTGACAACACAAGTAATTGAGTTCTACTAATCGATATTAACATCATTGACATTTTGTAATAATTGATGCATAATTTCCGAAGTATTGTCAGCTTTAGCAGTAATAAAATACACGTATTTCTAAGGCGGATAATACTCTTGAAATCTAACAATCTACATCTAATATAAAGTTGTACGCCCAGTTTTCTCCCAATACGTACTCGTCACCCATGTGCACAAACTGATAGCAAGTTAGATAGTTCATTTCTGTTGGTACTTGTCAACTTGAGATGTAAGCAAAGATTTGTTGCCTAGCAACAGGCGCTATCAAACCAATAACCTTTGCGTTGTTGATTATAGGAACACTGGTACAGAGAGTATTTTTGTTAAAATCAATGTTTATTCATATTCGGTTGTTCAATGTACGTTTTAAATTCAAAGGATTCTAACATGCAGCAATATTAAACATTCATATTTTATGCAACATTATACGGGAGTTTGTATCAGTCTAGCATATCAAGTAGATGTTTTATGCATAATAAAACCTGCCCTACAGAACAACATTGATTATTTATTTTTTGTTTTTCATATTGTCAAACATCAATATGAACTTTTTTTTTTAAATCTAAGTCAGCTATGTGTCTCTACCATGTGTTGCTGTCTGCTAAATTGTTGCCAGTGGTGAAAATATACGTAAAGATTTTCAATTCGTTACAATTCGCTTGTGATAAGGA